ACAATGCCAGATAGGAGATACCTTCTTTTGAGTTGTTGGCCAGGGTGGCCCAAGGGCCTCCCAGGTAGTAACCCAGCATAGAAGTGGGAAAATGAACAGCAGACCCTAATCTTATCTAAAGGAATATTGACAACTGATTGCTGCTAGAAGAGTAACAGCTGACCCTCCTAAAACAAAGACCTCTAGATAGGCTGACCAGATTCACCAGAAGGGCAAGTAGTGGGGAATGGGTGGGTGCCGACAACACAGCAGACAGTAGCAGGGATATCAGAGTACAAGGGCTCTAGTGGGGGGAGGGAGGCTATGGGAGGGTGAAATCTGGGAAGTGGGTGTAAAAATAAATAAATAAATAAATAAATAAATAAATAATAAAATAAAAATAAAAAAGACTATGGACTTTGAAAAAAAAATAGGGCTAGGTGTGGTAGTGCACGCCTATAATCTCAACACTCTGGAGAAAGCAGCAAGAGGATCATTACAAGTTCAAAGCCAACCTGGTATACACAGTGAACTCTAGATCAGCCAGAGCTACATAGACACTACCTCAAAACAAACAAAAAACAGTGCTACATTTAACTTCTGCCTTAAAATAAACTACATGTTCAGATACCTATTGAACATTGTTGACCTCATCAATTTCCAGAATAAGGGTAACAGTTCATTCTACCTCTGGCATTTTCTTCTGTAGGTGATTTACCTGAGATTTGCATTCTCACAGGGTGTGACATTAAAATTATTAAGAGATAAAATATTAAGTCACCTCAGAAGCAAGATTTTATTAGTAAAAATAGAAGGCCCAAACAGCTTTCAGACTGAAAAAGAAAGTCAGCCTTAATTTCATTGTCAGAAACATAAAGGGTACATTGTTTAGTAAGTCTGTTTTGCAATAGTAGGAGCAATAAAATTATAATCCCATCTATCTTTCTTAAAAGAATTTGAGTTTAATGACTCATGCCAGAGCCCAAAAATAAAAGCAATTATTGGAACTCAGGGTGGAGCTGACACTTAGGACATGAGCAAAATGTACAAAGGTACTTTTGTGACCCAGTTACATAAAGGCAATTTCTAATAGCTTATGTTAATGGCATTGACTCAATTCAAAACAACTCAGTTCATTTACATAAGTCTGAAATCTGTCCTATTTTAGCACATCTTTAGAAATAGAGGAAATTATTCTCAGCCACTTGACAGAATAGAAGAAAATAGTTATCAAGATGTCACACCCTGCAACTGACCTTTTCAATTGGCTAAGCTTTTTCAGTACAATTAGTAGGATAAGAATTAAGAGAAGACTAGGGTATATTTTAGCTTAGACCAAGACAAAAAACATAAAAGAGGCTACTTCTAATAAAATAAAGGGGAAATAAAGCTATTTAATGCTTTACAAAAGCTATTTACTGCTTTACAAAAGTGGGTAACAGTTAAACCATAATGTGACCTCCTAGATGCATCAGGGTATTTTCTGTTTGTAATACTACAGATAAAGGCAGTCCTGCAGGTCAGGTAAGACCTTTACAATTAAGCTATACCCTCCAGTTCCTGCTAAGAATTCCAAGGTGACAAGGCTAGAAACAATTTACTTCCTTAACTTAATCTTCCTCCTTTAGAAAGGGAAAAGAGAAACAGCTAAACTTTTGTTAATTCCACCTGGCTTCTGAGTGAATGCTGGGATATGTGAGGCCTGCTGAGCAGCCAAGGCAGGGTAATATGTTGCAAATCATACCATGGGAAATGTAGTCAGCATATGCCATCACTCAGTGTACAGCCCAGCGATGTTAACCTAACCTCTCTCACACATTCCTGAGAGTGGAAGGGCAGAATAGATTTTGTACTATAGGATGTTTATTGGGGTCAAGTGAGATGATGTAAAATTAGCATAGAATAATAAATCAACTCTGGGAGCATTGATAGTGATGGCTATTTTGTTGCTAGTGGTGGTAGGGTCAGTCTCTGCTACAAATGTTCTGATTTTATGATTATGGCTAGCTAACCTGACATGTTTTAGAGTTACAAATCATTGCAGCTTAAAACTTAAAAATATATTCTCTAAACTGTTTAGTGACAAAATAGTATCAACTGACTTAAAATATTCTGGACAAAAATTATGGAAATTTGTTTGCAAAAGACTTCTCAATCCTGCATTCTTTCACTCACAGAACCTCAACATGGCTTTAAAACTTCTGAGGGGACCTTGTCTTACTTGTGGCAGCTAAATAAATAAAGTAATATTCAGAATAAATTAACTTTATTTAGAAAAAGAAGAGAATTACAGAATCTGAACTCTACACATTTGCATAAAGTTATTAGACACTGTGACACAAATCTGCCTCACAGATGAAACATCTGAAGAAAATATTAGCATGTTGTGAATTTTCCTTTCCTTTCCCTCTTCTTAAAAAATTGGTAATAATTATCTGAGTTTACTGCCTACAGTGACATATCACTCTTAACTGATAAAGTATTAATTAATATTCTATTCCATTAATATTTAATACTGATGGTTTCAACGGCCTCTCATGTATGCATTTAATGAAGTGTCCTCTATTTGTAAGGAGTAAGGCATTTAAAGTCACAATGCTGTTTTGAGGCCACATTTTCAGATTGTATCTCTTATGTCATCCTACCCAGAAATAAGGACAGCCAAATAAGTAAGAACTAACTCAACTTATTTATTCTCCCGATTTAGGCTGATGAGTTAGCACGTCTCTAATTGCTTCATCACAATAGGTCATAGATGATTCTTGCTCAGACGTGGTCATCTGACTTTGGAATTTGAGTGGTATTAAGTGCATGGTCATCACCCAAGAAATATTTTCCCATAAAATGGTAGGGCTAATTATCACTAGATGAGGAACAGCTGACCCTCCTAAAACAAAGACCTCTAGATAGGCTGACTAGATTCACCAGAAGGACAAGTAGTGGGGAATGGCTGGGGGTTCCAACAACACAGCAGACAGTAGCAGGGATATCAGAGTACAAGGGCTCTAGTGGGGGGAGGGAGGCTATGGGAGGGTGAAATCTGGGAAGTGGGTGTAAAAATAAATAAATAAATATGGGATGTTCTGTGTGATATACACACACACAAAAAGTCA